AATCAAATTCTTCTAGAATTTTCATAAATGCCGTTAATATCACTCAATGATTGTCCTGAAAGATTTCAGTCTAATGTAATCGACTATGACATATCTTGTCTAGATAAGCTTATTCTATTACTGAAAGATTTGCGATTATGATGATTAATAGACTTGATTTCGGATATCTATGTTGTTTTTGTTTTTCTTACCAGCACGCATAACACCATTAACAACACTTTCCAGACTTTGTTCAAGTTTTTCTAAGAACAATGATGGATCATATAATTTAACTATAATATAAATAAAATTCTTTAAATTTTTACTTTGAATAATTGATTTTTTTTAAAAATCTATTTAAAAATCAAATCATATATCTATATTAACCTGAATCTGTTTCAAATTTAAATTGTTGTATAATATTATTTTCATCATCAGATAATGGTAATGCTTGATTATGTATTTTAAAAGCATAAGCCGTATTTTCTTGAAGATTTTTCATAGTCATACTTAAATGATCTTTATCAATTGTGCCAACCTTTTTAATAAATATTGAACGTATTTATTTTCTTTCTTTAATGAAAATACAAAATTGTTTACATACTTTAGTCCAATCGTCATTATCTGTTTCTTTTTTTGAATAAACATCAAAAACATCTTCAAATGATGCTGGTTTATCAGTAGAAACAATAGCTTCAATAAGAACAGTTGTTGCATCAGTTTGATGAATAGCAAATTGTGGAGGAGGAACTCGTGTTTTAGCTTCATCCTTGACAACTAGATTAACAAAAAAAGGGGACCTTAAAAATCAGTAGAAAAATTAAACGAACATCGTGGTTTGCGTGATGGTGGCATTTTAACATCAAGAACAAGTGAAAGTTGAGAAGAACTTGATTCATTTCCTGGTGTTATTCCACGTAAAATTGGTGTAAAACGAAATTTATAATTAGTGTCTTGTTGAAGATTGTCAATAGTTAAATGAGAAGCATCGCGAGTTATATCCGGCATCTAAAAATAAAACAGTTTAATCCTTTATTATATTTACGTGCAAATTCATTCGAACTTGTTTCCATTGATCTAATTGATCGGTTGTTGTGTATTCAACTTTATATCGATCAAATTCTTTAAAACCTTCTTCTGAAATATCAACATCAACTGTAGTTGATGACGTTGGTACAATACGTAATGAACCAAGCCATTCATTAACATTATGTACAGTCAATAAATCTAATTCACCTTCATCTTGTATAAATAAAAGAAAAAGAATTTTACAAAATAAATCGATTAAATACAAGGTAGCCCAAAGGTCAGTTAAACAAAGAAAAAAATTCAATATCTTCATCATAGTTTGATTGAATAGGCTGATACTTGTTCCGATGATAAATAGATATTCATAGTTCCTATTCTTATGGAAAATATTGAAAAAGATCATTTTAATGTATCATTATAGACTTCGACACAGAAATGATGTCTTTCTCAATTATTAGCGACGAAGATTCTTCGTGGTTGGTCTACAGATTCTGAGAACATATTTCATCGAATTATATTGGTTCATCAAATCATAATAAATTCCCAAAGGATTCGCTTTTTTATCGAATTTCGATCGAGATGTTGAATTTTTCCTTATAGGAAGCCAATTTTTCAATGAAATCTTCATTTGAAATTTTACCGCAATCAAGATTTCAGAATTTTCGCATGTACTTTTTCCGACATACCGATTTCTCAATACCTGTACATTGTACAAAATGTCAAAAAAAAGAGACATCTCGGTCAACAGACCACAGAAGAACGAATTCTTTGAAGGCTATCATGAGCATATGGTCGGATACTATTCGGCAAAATATAAATTCAGAAGCTGTGGATCAACTGGAAAGGTTGCATTTCTATATCGAAGTGAATAGCGATGCACCAAAATGGTTCTGTTCAATATTTTCCCTACGGATATAAATCATAAACACCCATTTATCATCATTAAAAAAGAAGTCAGTCTATTTGATCAAACTATGACGGAGATATTGAATTTTTTCTTTGTTTAACTGACTTTTGGACGAACCTTCATCATTTACCTGATTTCATAGGCTGTTGTGATTCCGATGGTACCAATCGAAATTGACATTGTTGAGCATCAATTAAATTATCTACGCGAGCTGAACCTTGTGAAAGAGGAACTTTCGTAACTTTAACCCAGTCGGTTTGTTGTCCTTCTTTCTTTTCAATATCATACATATTTACTGTATCATTTCCATCTTTTTTCCATGTTAATTGAACAGAATTAGCCGAAAGAACTTCAACATCAGGTATTATAATATTTTTTTTATCTGTTGAGGTTATATATATATCATCTGTTGGTTTACTAGTAAAGATTTTTCCATTTGCAAGATGAGCTTTTAAACGAAAACGTGATGGAATATTATCATCATTATCATTCGAAATTAATGACGATATATCTAATTCAATTTGATTTTGCTTTTTATCAATTTCCTCTCCAATAGGTAACCATTCTTTATCACCTAATTGTCGTTCAATTGTATAATAATCAATACCTGATGATGAACTTGGTGATATCCATTCACATAAAAGACGACCTCGAGAACTTCGATCATTTGAATTTTGATTAGACAATGGTTCATCTTCATAACGAACAGTAAATGATATTAATTCAATATCTTCTGGTTTATCATAGTCATCTTTTATTCGGACACTTTTTTTAGCTCGTCGTTTTTCATCATATTCTGCTAATTCAGCTTCATATTGAGCTTTAGCTCGTAGACGAGATTCTCTATCACTATCTGAATTTGACACTGGTGAATCATCATGTTGCTCACTTATTCTATTTCGACGTTCTCGATTTTGATAATTACGATTATATGGTACTTGTGATGATGGTCGTATTTTAAAATCTTCTTGTTCCATTTCACGAAGACGTTGATAAGCAATATTTCCTGGTAAAACTATTGGCTCATTTATTCGATCAAAATCATAAAGAGATCGTGATCGTGCTCTTCCGATAGGTGTTGTATCAATATACCAATTAAGAACTATTTCATCTTCATCAAGCATACGTAAAATACGATTTAATTGTGTTTCTTGACCCGTAATCTAAATTATATATATATATATATGAATATTGATATCAATCTTTAATAAAACTTACTGTTTCATAAGTATTTCGTAAAAAGTGATAATCATCTAAACGTTGTTCAGCACCAGCAGCCATAAAATGAGCAACTAAATGTGATGTATCTTCCTATATTAAAAGAAAACTTCATTTAATTTGAATTCATATACATATATGTAGTAACTCACCATGTTTTATTTTTCTCGTTTTAACTGAATACAATTCAAATAACGAAAGTTCTCGATTTTACTTAATGGATATAGACAAGCGTCTATTACACGTGCAATAGAATATTATATATCTTATAGGAGGAAAAGATATGGTAGATTTATTTCGAGCTTCTGTTCTGGGTGAATCTCATCCTTAGCAAAAAAAAATAGGCGAAAGTCAGACAGATGTGGTTGTTGTTGTTGTTGTTTTCTGTTAGTGGGTCTATTGCTTATCACATTGATAGATCGTATCAGTAAATCATCACATTCATCCGTAATGGAATATTTTCATCACGTATAATGAATTTTTTTTTCCTTCTTTATTATATTATTATCAAAACAGAACAACAACGGATAGTTCTGGAAAATCAATGAAAAATAAAGACAAGAGAAGAAAAAATAGAAGAAAATGTTAGTGGTATAAATGACCCTGCCAATTTGCACCAGGATACATGTAGAAGCTTTAGCAATGTCAACTTTAATCAAGGTCATTTTTTGATGTTTTCTTCTGGCAATATCTAATAGATTGGATACCCTACAACAATAAACAACTATTACTATATGTTTATTTATTTCTAGGCTCTAACGTTGATAGAAGCATATTTAGTGTACTTTGCTAAATTATATTTGAAGTCTATCTTAATATTCGTATGTCATAATAATTACATATAGGACTGTCAATCCCAAAAAAAGAAACCATATAATACAGTAAACAAGAACAGTGCGTTGATGGACAACGATAAAAGAATTTTGTTGTTTATATTATTATACTAATGCAATTTTTTTTCAGATGCGTAGAAGATTTATAATTGAGTCTGGTTGGATCAAGGGTTTAGGTCAGATTTTTCTTCTGTTAATGAACAAAAGATAATTTCTATTCATATGACCGACTCTAACTGAACGATCAATAGATAATGATTAATTAATGAGTAGTCATTTAAATAATAAAAATTGAGCAACTAGATATCAAACAAGTTCTGTTCTATTTTGATTAATAATTGATTATATACAGATATCGAAGTCTATTGTATAACCTACATCTAAAACATTAAATGTGCTTAGTTATTTTTTTTCGTCTGTTGGTATTCATTTGGTCTTGATTGATATATCATTTGGGGTCAAGAGGAAAATTGATTTAAAATATATTAACTACCATATAATGTACATATAATGTTTTATATCTGTCTTTCAGAATGTGCTAAGATTGTAAATATCTGTGGTCTTTAACTATCTTCTCCACATATGTTAATGAATATCACAGTTGCGGAAAACAAATGTAGGAATATGTTGACATTTATTGGTACTTTGAGATCGATTATTTATCCCATGCAAGTTGATCAATATGGACAGTCAAAACATCATACAATATACTGTTAGTATGAAACATTCTGTTTCAAATAGTTTAAATTTATATGAATAAATTCATCAAATAAGATAATTATCAACAAACCAAACATTATTGAATTTATCATTTTACTAATAATAAGTCATAATCTTTTGTTTTTTAATGCTTTGATTAAATTAATAAAAAGAAATACATATCATGCAAAAAATTCGTCGAATGTTTATTAAGTAGAATAAAAATGCAAATACAACAGATTTTAAATGTCACGAGAAAATTTTAAAAAAAATGAATAGATTCACAAAATAATTTAGTCATGTGCAACATTTCTATTTATATAAATAGAATTCAATTAATACATAGTCCATAGTGCTTTCAGTGCTTTTATCAAACCCATATTATTATAATTAAAATAACTATTCAAAAAGAAATAAATAAAATAAATAGAATATTTTTTTGTTATTCATACCAAAGTCCAGCAAATGCAATCGTTGTGAGTACATATCGAATAATATTAGCTAATGGTAAGGCTTTTCTAGGACAATAATCAATTAATACTACATCCATTCCTATCAACAGAATATTAATTATTATTATTCTATAGAAAATCTTCATAGAAAACAAACCCCAATGTGCATGAATGGCAAGTGAAACAGCCAATAAATAATTCATAAACACTGAACTAAATACAAATGAACCTGGAATGATAGCAAGCATGGCTAAGGCAACGACACGTTCAATTTTCCAATGTTCAGAACCAGTTAAACCTTTTGATGTTTGTGAAGGATTCATCGAAAATACTGGTTGAATTGCGGCTCCACCAGTCATAGGCATCATTGTTTTCTATATAAATTAAATGTAAACAAAACAAAAAAGAAACACAAAAACAAAAAAGATTACCGATGATGGACCACCAATAAAATTTGAATTAATCAACAATGAATCAACAATACAATTTATGGAACGAAAACCACGTATAGAAGTAAAACTCATTCTTATTTTTACAAAAAGAAAAGAAAAAGAACAAATAACAATTTGAAATCTGAAATAAATAATAGACTTATTAGCGTTTTATATTGAAAAATAATGTTTTTTTTTTCGTGTTAGATTTATTTTACATCATGTCAATTACCTAGGTATGAGTAGGACAAGTCATTTTTTGATAAAAAAACAGAATCATCTTGCTCAATGCAGAGTATATCATTTATATTCTATTGAAAATAACATCTGCTGCAATACAATAAATATTGTACATAATGATTACTGTTCTTGATAAGAGTATATTTCGGATTACTAAATACTTCACATCTATTATTGATCAATCACGCTAATAATCTTCTTATCTGATTGTGTGCTTAGAATTTGTCAAACAGTGACTTGAACAATACCGAATTTTTCTTTACAATCAAAGTATTCAAAGAGTTTCCATTCTTAGAAATGAAATCCGACATGAATATCATTACTCATTATCATTTGAAGTATTTTTATGCAGCAGACCATGGTTATTTATGATAATTTAATAGTGTAGTTAGCTACACTTAAATTACTAATACACTTTTTTGATTCATTAAGGAAAAATATAAGAGAAACTAGCATTTTTTTTTAGGTTGAGAATATAGGTGTGACTGAAAAGAAGATTCACACTCTAATATTCACTCTTAAATCAAACTGCCTACATAGATCCTCTTTCTATATCTATTTTTTACGTGCTTTCGTAATGCAGCTATTTTTTCTCTTTTCTCCCGTTCTTCATCGAGGATATTTTCTAATGTACGACCACTTTCGGCTCTTCTCCAAATTCTACTTTACGGGCATCTTTTTCCCTTGAATTAAGCAAAAATGTCTGCAGTCAAAAAACATGAGTATAATCAGTTTCATTCATGGTAGGGTTTCTTTCTTCATGAAAAAAAATTTTCTTTTGATTATACACTGATTGTTTTTATCACATAAATATCAGAGTTCGGGTGAAAAATCGAACATTAAAAAAAACATAAAATCTATCAAATTTCTATTGAATAGAAGTGAAAAAATTATCATCTATGCTCTATTTTATTGCCATTAAATGGCTAATTGTTGTTGTTGTTTTATATATATTAAAGTCATAAAATTCTTCTGTGTCGTTACTCAATGATTTTATCATTATATTAAAAGATGAATACATTAATTGAACATACAAATATTGACAATAATTATTTCATCCGTAGAATCTTACTAACTAGTGACAGTTACAAAACTCGTAATAATTCATTGTGAAAGTTTATCCTCTTTTGATTTGCTCTTTTCCTAAAGTACGAACATCAAATCTGCTCTATGTATATGAGCAGTGTAAAAGACAAGGTTTTTATCATAGCTATATCTTAGGAGAGAAATAATGAAATGACCTGAAACTTTCACAATAGAATATTTTTATTAAGTTATGTCTCTATAGAAAGTTTTAAGTCGAAATTTGAAAATGATTTTTTCTTGTGCTCCTGAAGAAGACTATAGTGGCTAACAAATGCTGATAGCAATTGTATTTTTAGATTTTCTCTTTGATGATAATAACAATTGTTTGAATCAGAGTCTTCAAAAAGCCAAGACCCCCCCAAAACCAATTTTCTTGCTTTCATTCGAAGTTTTTGGAATAATATTTTATATGCTAGAGCAAAAACCTCTGAGCAAAATGAAACGTTGCCGATTTCTTCATCAAACTGCATTCAATTTATAGAATGTCCCAAAGCATCAAGCATGACAAGAACATTGAAGTTTTTAATAAAAAAGAAAGAGAAAAATGTTTCTTATGCCTTCTGTTAATAAAATCCAATTCGATGAGAGAATGTCATAGAGAGATCGAAGACGTCTTATCTTGTTCAGAATCATTTTCTCTATCAAAAAAATCCAAAAACTTCGAATAGAAGCCAGAAAATTAGTTTCGGCAGTCTTCATTTTCCGCAAACCCTTGTCCGAACAGTTTTGTTAGAACCTTCGCATCCACCAATTCTAATAGAGAATCGTTTCAGCTATAGAAACGCTTTTTTCCGACTCTTGTTAGCGATTGTCATCAAGTGCAATACCTCAGCATATATAAGGTAACGGTTCGAACTCTTCTCAGGATATTGATAGGTTTATTTGATTCTGCACAATGTGTATAGTCTTGACTAAAAAGTGGTTAATTTGTTGAAGCACTTCCTCTGTCAAATTAATTATCATATAAGTAACCCATCAGAATGACCTACTTTTTCTTTTGTATTATTGAAATATATTTATACTATTAAAAGCTTGGCGTAATAAATGTTTTGTGATTACAATGGATTCTATTTATTCTTTTTTCGGCCTCATTAACCTTTTATCTACAACATAAAGAAATGATTTGTCTAAATTAAAAGTTTTCTTCTATTCATTATTCTGTACATAAATACCTTCAACATATTTGTTTGTTTATATAAAATCTACTTCATCATCACAGTCTACTTCCAGTCAAATGCATAATCTAACAAATAACCATATTCTATAGTTTTGATTGACACACCTTAGCTGTCCGGTCATTGAGTACGAAAGTACAATTTAAATACACTATCAAGTATAAAAGAAAAGAATTTTATTCCTATTGTCCTTTAAATAAAACATCTGATTTGATCAACATATTACGTACAGTAATTAAAGTGTATTGATTTTTCTTCGGTGTAAACGATTTTACACATGTTCATTTTTCTTGCTAATATTCATAATGAATATTCTAACTGGCAAATAACTTGACGAGTAAAAAATGCCGCTAGAGCTCGCTAAATATTAAGATAAAACAAAAATGAATCTATAAGCAAGAAAAAAAGAGAAAAATAAATTTTCATAAAATTTCTCATTTTTCTACAAATCACTTTGTCACAAAAAAAGTGTCATTAATTATTTTTTTTTCAGTGAGTCATTCATAGTCTGGCATAACCTATAGCATAGTGATTGACCGTTGATGTCGGTCATTCATTTGCTTTTTCGTTCTTGAATACTCATTCGAACTCGTTGTTTTGTTTTTTTTTCTCTAAATAATCAAAATATTATCGCGCGTAAAACTTCTTTAGCTTTTTTTTTTTTATTCACTTTTAGTAGACACTTTTCTCTCGTTCATCAGCCCGTGTATATCCTTGTGCTTATAGAAGTAAAAATTATTTCATACAGTTAAACAAATGATGCTGCCTGATTCACCACAAAATATTGTTGTTGTACGAGCACCATCACCATCTATTCATTATATACCGGGTAGTATGAATGGTGATAATATTATAATACCAACACAAAATCATCAACAAACAATACAACAACCTATACATTCATTTAGTCAACCTGTTTCTGAATCATGGTGTTTTACAAGTGTTAAAGTGATTAAAGTATGTTTAGAAATAATTGTTTTTAGAATGAAATGAATTCGTTTTTTTTTTTGTTTTCATTTTCGATCGATTTGTTTATAGTTTTCATTTAATTGGACAATAAATAATTTTTCATTTTGTCGTGAAGAAATGGGTGAAGCATTAAAATCATCATCATTTTCAGCAAATGCTAATGATAAACTTAAATGGTGTTTACGGTTAAATCCTAAAGGTCTTGATGAAGAATCAAAAGATTATTTATCACTTTATCTTTTACTTGTTGCTGCACCAAATAGTAAATGTGAAACACGTGCAAAATTTAAATTTTCAATACTTAATGCTAAAGGTGATGAAACAAAAGCTATGGAATCTCAACGTGCTTATCGATTTGTTCAAGGTCAATTGTAATTTTGACATATTTTTAATAGATATTTTTCTTTTTTTCTATTTAGGAAAAGATTGGGGATTTAAAAAATTTATTCGTCGAGATTTTCTTATTGATGAAGCTAATGGTTTATTACCAGATGATAAATTAACATTGTTTTGTGAAGTTAGCGTTGTTGCAGATAGTATTAATATTAGTGGACAAACACAAGTTAATCCAGTATGTATATGAAAATTAATTATCAGAATTTTTATATAGAACTAAATTTTGAACTTGAGCGATTCTAGTCAAGGAATCCGAAAAAAAGAGCTACTATCGTATTCCGATTAGAATATTTCATTGAGAGTACTTGATAGGTGCTAGTCTTATTTCATCTTACAAAACACATTAACAGACAAATTGATGTTCAATTTAAGGTCATCACAGTGGTTCATAAGTAGTTTTATAATAAAAAATTTAAATATTTCCACTATAGAAAGAATTTTTTTTTATAAGAATTTGATGCACTTACAGGTCATGAGATGAATCTAAAATTTCGAAACTTATATATAAAAATTAGTACTAGCAAAGATAGTCAAAGGTACTCTGCTTTTTTTTATTGATGCTTCAAAGCAATATAAATATAAATGTTGTTCTTACAGAAAAAAAGAACAATTAATCCCATAGAGTGAACATATTGAAATTTTCTATCGTAAATCTACTTATGGAACACCCTGTAGAAGGTCATAATAAAAAGAATAAAATCCGATTGACAAAAATATTTTATAAAAAAAAAAATAGTTTGAAATCTTGAGATCAGTAAATTTTTTATATAAAAGGTCACTTTAACCTTTTCTTCTTGACACTTTATTGTACTTACTTATTGTGAAAAAAAATGCAAATTTTTGAGGTTTATAGCTTATTCTAAGAATATGTAAGAACACAATCGCATATATTATTTTATTAATTTTTCAATACATTAATCTGATAAAAGCAATACAATAAATGTGAAACAAGTGTTAGCCTTAGGGTTTCTCTGATAAAATACATGTCGATTCAGGAGATATAAAAGTTAATAATAAACAAAAAAAAGTACAGTTGAAAAATTAGTAAGTGATTTAAGCAATGTAATTTCTCAATATAGTCAAGATTCTAAATAAAGAATACACGTAGTTTTCGATGTCCTCAAACATGTTTTATTAATTGAATTGAACCAGAAAATTATGCTGCAAAATATTTGTCCTATAGAAATTATCAGAAAGAGCAATTACTCCCACAGCAATACGGTAATA